CAGCCCCCCCCCGCAGGCCCCCCTCCACGGACACCTGCCATGTCTTTTCCATGTCTTTGGGGAACAAATAAGGAGCACTAGTGGAGGATAATTTTTTTACCTTTTTTCTTGAGGTGTCTTTAAAGCCCCCTTTTCCCAACTATTCCCAGCTGCTGGCAGAGCTCAGTGAAGGTTTTTATTTATGTATTGTCCTTGCTTCCTTCCCAACCTTCTCATGACCCATTTCTTTGACATCACAAGAAGCCTTTGCATCACAGCATAACAACCACCCTCCAGCCTCAAATTTTGGCCCTGAAATATCAGGAAATGGAATGCTACCAACCCTGCAATGCTCCATATTGCTGTTTAGGAAATAAAACAGCTTGATTTACTATATAACAACAGATAAAACAATGCAAACACTACCAAATTTGAGCTCCTACACAAGCCAGAAGCTGCACAGATACTCCCGAATTAAAGTACTGGCTAGAATTCTCTGATTCCTTCTAGAAAACATACAAGTCCACAAACATAATTTTTCATCTTGGTGACTGCATAATGTTTCAATCTGCAAATCAATATGACTATCCCATGCTACTTTCAACATAAGAACTCAGCATAGGAACCCATGTCTGGTTTTATGATGCTATAGATCCAGCACAATGCTATGCTTTTTTTTTTTTTAAACAAGTCCCATAATGTTAACTGGAATTTATTTCCTAATAACTGTATACAGAATCGAAGTCTTCCAACACAATTTGATAAATGCATATTCTTAAGTAAATCCCACTGAGTTCAATGGAAGTTACTCTCAAGTAAGGGCATAATAGGACTGCAGCCTTAGTGATTCTTGCAAGCTGCTTTAAGTTTCTTTTGAGGATAATGTTTACATAAATAAATGTATTACATTTCTTAAAATACAAAAGATCAATAATTAATTGTCTAGCCAGGGTCTAAACTAACAACAAGTGTTTTGCTTCTGGAATTAAATGGCTCCTTGATTATACCTAGCTGTACAGGCTAACACCCTCACCAACAGTATAACCCAGTATGTATCCATTCAGATACAAAACCTGATTGAGCTCAATGGTACTTGATCCCAGGTATGTGATCACAGGAATTCAACCTGAGAGTCAGGAAGCGTCTTCCAGTATCTGGTATTAATATTATCTAGCAGAAGAGGTCCCTGTCAAAATCCAACTGGTTCTTCAAAATGATTTTCAGCCATCAGTTCACATGGGATCAGAGTGTGGTAAAATATGGAGTAAAGGCAAACCATAAAAATGAAGTGCAAGTTAAATCTGAAGTGGGTGGGTGATGAAAGAACAACATGTTTTACTTTTACTGATGTAATTTCTTGATGGTGGTCATGTACCTTCAGGAAACATGAACCGGATTTCTCTTTCGGCTGAGGAAAAACTGGCACTGGCATGCAGTCCGTTCCTCAGATCATCTGTCCCATAGATTGCTCTTAAACTAAAAGCAACAGAGATATATTAGCATGCTTATAGTGCAATTTCATGTCTAATCATAATTAAATCCCATCAAATTCAAAAAGTTGCCTCTCTAGGTACCAAGTGCACATACAGTGGTGCCTGGCGCCCATGATGTTTGGTGAAACGGAAGGCACAGAAGCAAAGCCAGGAATAAGCGTAGGTATTCATTAAAATAAAATAAAATGCAGGCATATTCTCTCTCTCTCTCTCTCTCTCTCTCTCTCTCTCTCTCTCTCTCTCTCTCTCTCTCTCTCTCTCTCTCTCTCTCTCTCTCTCTCTCTCTCTCTCTCTCTCTCTCTCTGTGTGTGTGTGTGTGTGTGTGAGAGAGAGAGAGAGAGAGAGCAGGCATCCAGTCAGATGTCCTCCCCCAATTATTTTTCTACCTCTCTGCCACAAAACTAAATATGCTCTCACCTGCTGCTGATTGTTTCTGTGGCTGGTTTCAAAGCTAGGCAGTTAACTTATCCACTTACATTCATTCTCTCATTTTCTCCCTGCTGTCTTTGCACTCACACACACTCTTGTTCTTTTTGTGTGAGGTTGTGATAATGGAACAACTTTCACTGTCCCTTACTGCTTTCTATTCCCTCCCCTGCACTGCTTTTTCACTTCTGCCTGCAGTCCTAGCCACACATCCTTGCAGCTCTTTATCCCTAGATCCTACCCTGGCACTCTGCAAGCGGGATCTGAAGGCCTTAGGAATTGACCTCAACAGATGGGAAACCTTGACATCTGAGCGTTCAGCCTGGAGGCAGTTGGTGCATCGTGACCTCTCCCAATTTGGAGAGAACCTTGTCCAGCAGGCCGACGCAAAGAGGGAGCCCCGAAAGCAGCAAAATCAGGGAGCTGGACAGGGGACAGATTGTATTTGTCTTCAGTGTGGAAGGGATTGTCACTCTCAAATTGGCCTTCTCAGCCACACTAGATGCTGTTTCAAGACCTCCGTACAGAGCACGCTACCAGTCTCTTGAGATTGAAGGATGCCTACTACTACCTACCCTGGCACTATTCCTTATTGCCTTAGGCTCCTATATCCGGCTCCAACCATGGCCCCTACTTATTAAAAGAGTATGCCTCAAATATGTATCAATATAAAGAGTGGCTGAAGAGAAAATGTGAACAGGCAAGCAGATACAACAGGGATCGGCTTACAAATTCTTATGTAACACTTTCAGCTGGACTTTTCCATATGCATTGTCTCAGATGCATTTCTTGTATCATCTGGCAGGACAAAGTTCCAAATAGAGTAGTCCTAGAATGAGCTAGAATTTTTAGCATGTATATATTACTGAAACAGTGACATCTACATTGGCTTGGGCATGTCGTGAGAATGGCTGATGATCTGATTCCAAAAGATCTCCTGTATGGAGAATTATTGCAGGGAAATCGCCCCAGAGGGAGACCACAGTTGTTCCAAGACATCTGTTCAGAGCACGTTACCATAGTCTCTCGAAACTGAAGGATGCCTAATCTAAATCCTACCATGCCTACTAGGACTTTCAGCTGCACTTCAGAAAGAAACTAGTGCAAGAAGATTGTAGTGGGGGGGAGAAGGACTGGGTTTCTATTATCCCCAGAAAGAAAAGATTTTAAAGCAGACATAAAAAAATTAATTAAAGGGAAGGACTACAATCTTATGCTTGCTTACCTAGGAGTAAATTCCACCAAACAGTGGTGGGATATGCTTCTGCGTAAACAGGCTTAAGTTGGCATAAGAACAAGATTCATTATTTTAAAAACTACTTTTCCCTGCTCATAATGGTCCAGATCCATTCAAGTTCATGGACAAAGGCAACACTCTCCTTCAGTTCTTGCTGTTCTCCCCAAGCAAGCAGCCTCTTGGTATAGGGTGTGAGGGAAAAGAAGATCTCCCCTCATAGTCTCAAGCTCCCATGTGCACTACTCTATAAGTGCTGAATGAAAATTAAGGGTGGACAAAATCACACAAACATCCCCAACACTTCAGGATATAGGATCAGGGAAGGAAGCCAAACTATTGTTTTGCATTGTCCCTTGTTTTGCTTCTCTATGGAGATACCATTGCTGATAGTGATACTACAACCAGAATGCAAGCAGAAAAGGCATTTGAAAAATTGCTAGTTCTTGTCTATGCACATGCCTTAAACAGCAAAACCAAATCAAACAAATGCCTTCTGGCATTAAAGTCATTGTTGATGTAGAGGCAGGAAGTTGATACACACTCCCAATAGGAGGGGAGAGGAGAGTTTCGTGTCTTTTTTTCACACAGAAGTCTACTGGGATGGTATAGTTGAAAATGCCTCAAACCCATGGCAAAGCTGCTTTCTTTACAGGTGAACCTACATGAAACTTCAGGGAGTGTGAGCCATCTGCAGGCATACAAGTGCAATTACATTTAAATTTAATTTTGTCTAATACTATAATCAAATTATTGTGGAGTAGTACAGAGAAATGTGGAATATGGAAATTAATTATAAGCTAACTTGTGAAATAAAGATTAGAAGAGGAAGAAAAAATGTAATGATTTTAAACAAATATGGAATTTCTTTTTGGTACATGTGTTTCGGAAAGAGAAGGGATATACACCGGGAGAAGAATCAGTGTATTACTGGAGAGAAATGAGGTGATTTGAAATATAAGAATGATGAACATGGAACTAGTCCTGAGTGGGAGGTAGGTAGCATAGACTGGAGAAGAGGGTGTGGTTATGTCATAAGTGGATAAATGACAGTGATTTGTAAAATAGTAATATTTGTCCATGTCTTTCTTTTCTGTTTAATAAAATAATTTAAAAGAAAAAAATAAATTTCATTGTGCATTAAGTAGGCTGGCTGGAGGTAACCTGAGCTTGACATAGGGTGGAGCCCCACTTGTCCTAATAGACCAGCCTCTGCTAAATACAAGAACAGATATAGCAATATGCACATTAATAATAAACAATTTGTTTAGCTTGTTGTGTACAAAACAGATTGCTATATTAAAATGAAAAAAAAAAATTAAAAATTAGGTTACAATGACAACATGTCTGTTGGACTACACCCTCAATTTTGTCTCCCATGACTAGACTACCCTTCTCTCCAGGAACAACCAACTAATTGGTAAGTGCTATATGACAAAAGCTGGCACAGGGCAGGCTGTAGAAACACCCTGGCAGGTCTTGCACAGTATATAGGCCAAATGTTTCCCATTCCTGAATTTATTAATTATGCCCATGTTTCAAACTAAACATGTGAAAAGGTAGCCTTGTTAATTATTTGATTTTAATTCACTGCTTCAAATTCTACCACCTCACCTATTTTGTAAAATAAAGGTTGTGCTATTGACATTATGTACATACTTCATCTGGAATGTTTTTACATACAGTTTTCAAGTCCTGAGAAAGTTACCTGTCAGGATACGTTTCTTTAGCGACTATGCTACTTGAGGGTCCCAGCAGTTCCTTCCAGTAAGAGACAGCTTTATGCCGAGCAAGAACCATTGCAATTAAAGGCCCAGAACTCATATAAGCTGTCAAGTTAGGAAAAAACATTTTTCCATATTGTTCTACATAGAAGTTGCTACACTGCTCTGGGCTTAAATGGAGCTTTCGTTTCTGCAAAAAGAAAAGGAAAGAAAAACCTAAAATAATTGTTCCGAGAATGTAAAAGACTGCCACTGACATTAACATTCTACATTACAAAAGCATTGTAGTTTAAACTCTTTCCAGTGCTACAATATTAACCTTATTTTCAAAACAGCTTAGCAAGTAACAGAATGACACCTGCTGACCTCTGGAAATTTCTTGTCTAACTCTAAGAACATGTAGAAGTTAAAAGCTGAGTTTGATACTGTTTATTTGTTCTCCCATGCAGCGTCTAAAGTAGAGCTAAGGTTACCTCTGCATTGCAACCATGCCTACTGAAGGGTAATAAGAAGACTACTTTGCAGTCATTCAGCCCCTGGTCAAGAATCTACTTCCTGATTAACCACCATCCTGTCTCCACCTGGTCCTTCCTAAAGAAGTCTGTTGAATTGCAAATGGTGCACTCTAGCTTTAGGCACACCCAGATAATATCAGAAATTCCAAACCTCAATTGACCTGCCTTTCAGTCTGGGTGCATTACCAAGGGCAAAGTGAAATGTGACAGCACAGGAAATCTATGACTGGACAACATTAAAGAGTTTCTGGTGTTGGTGATTTGGACAGGAGCTGCAGCAAGGAAGAAAAGGGGGCTTTAACCATTTCCCCTTCTCACTTCACTGAAATAAAGAGCAAACAATCCCACCTCCAAACGGCTCTTAGTTTGTTGAGGAAGAGATGCAGGTAAAGCTGCACTTAAGACTTACATCAATGAGCTCCAAAACAATAATTCCACAATGGGAATGACAACTGAGCTAGTTAGTTAGCCAAGGAGTGGGCAATCCAGCCACCAGGTAACCTTTCCCCTTATTTCCACAGTATTCTCTGCAGATTTTTGCCAACTGTGTGCCGGGAGATCAGGGTGGGAGACAGAAAAGAATGTGAGGGATAAGATAAAAACAGAAAAGAGATATTCCTTCGTCTTTGGGTTGTGGCCATTCCCACTATCGGTGTTGATCCCTGACACTGCCTACATATAGCCCTGAGAGATTATGCTGGAGGAAATGTGGTCCCAACAGACCATCTCTATATAGCTGTGACGATTTTCATATTTTGTTATATTCCACATTCATTTTTCATGCACTGGGGAACTTCACATAATCAACTAATCATAAGCCTGCAGTTTTTAACTGTTCATAAGCTCCAAAAATGCAACTTGTTTGAATCAGAAATATATGAAACAAATGCATACAAATTAAAACTTTTCACTATCACTTGAAATCTTTCCATATAGGATGGAATTCTGATGCTTGGTGCTTGAAAATAATTTCAATTATAATATAAAAATTTTGCCATTCAGAGGTGACTCCGCTGGTAACTGGAATGCTTTTTGCGGAAAAAATACATTTGGAAAGAACAAATAGCTGTACTATTTTACTCATCTAAAACCAGTTGTTCTAAAAGTAAAGCTGTGCAATACTGGCATCTAGTGCTCAATTCAAGAATTTAATTCAAGAATTGCTTGACTGATATAACAATGCAGACTCAATACAGTTAATAGAAGCAAAATTGTGTTCTAGCAGTCTCACCAAAAGCATTAATAATTTCTCAACATACCCGAATATCAGCAATATTTTTATTATAGTATTTGGATAATGGCATATAATGAATTTGAACTTACGTTTGTGTATTATTTATTATTTATTATTTATACTATATTTTTGGAGCTTTGGAGTAACTGGCATGTATTATAACATTGCCAATTTAATTATTTTTATAGTTATGAGACAAGTAGCTTCACTACATGGAGAAGAAATATGTGTTTCAAGAGTTGTCTCATCTCCTGTTCAGTTTAAAAAGTAGATTTTTACAAGGGTAAGTAAAAAGAAACTCCTTTAGTCAGTTTTGACAAATATTAAAGAGCTACTTAAAAAAACAAAAACTGCAGGGCCAGCAAAGCCATTCAGTGACCAAATGCTGTCCAGATATCTTAGACTACAATTCCAACTAGCCTAAGCATTATGGCAGACAGTGAGAGATTATGGGAATCATATGGTCCTTTGCTTACTATGATTCAAAGACATTAATTTTAAGATAAAGCAACACCCATCCCCATCTCCATACAAATTAAATACATAAATTTTACATTTCATGATCGAAAAGACTTTCCTCTCTGGATCAACATTCCTCAGTATATGGAGAATGCACTCATTTCATACAAGATTCACTATACAAGAAAGAAAATGTATCTTATATAAACATACATGCACCTTTTAAAGACACAAGAGTTTTAAAATGTCACTTGTTTGTGCCAGCATTTGAAATTCTAAAGCAGGGCAAGGTCTCCTTAACCATAGTCTTAATGCAAAATGATTTTTTAAAAAAAATTATTTTACCTGAACAATGGTGAATCCTGATCTGAGAATTATATCTTCTATTTCTACTTCTTTATTGATGATATCTGGCTTAATGATTGCCAAAGTTCTTTCAACGTAAATTTGAGGTTCAGGCATTAACATTTGCATTTTTGCTATTAAAATTCAGGTCTTCTTCTGTCACTGAAATGATAATATTTGTTATGCCCGCTACATTTACACTTCTTTCAGAACAATATGACCTTGAAATCTTCAGAGTAATTATTTATTTCACAGTGACATTGTCCAGCCCACTCTCTTTGAATGCAGAAATTAAAGTATGCTTAGGATTGCTCTGTTCATATTGCAATATTCTTTTATGGCTCATCTTTAAATTACTTCAGACTGAAGTCAACGGGTGAATCACAAAGCTCCAAGACTTTAAACAATCAGCTTTTTGTCTTTCAGTTGTTGACCTGTCAAAAGTAATCATCATGAAGCAGCCTCGAAACCTATATAATTCTTACTCACAAGTAAATCCTGCTACATTCGCTGGGATTTGAGGGTTGAGTAAGAAATTAGGATTACAGGCGTGTAGTGCAGTCCTAGTAATGTTCCAGTCAGACGTTAGTCCCCTTTTCCCAAATAGGACTGACTCCCAGGCAAGTGTGCCAGGGCCTGCTGGCAGCTTGAAACACCACCTGCTTTCTCTGCCCACTTCCATCCACTGTGAGAATGAGATTGGATTCTCTGGAAAAGAATCAATTCAAATTGGGAAAGGTTGAAGGCAACAAGAGAAGAGGACGATCAAATACGAGATGGACTGACTTCCTAAAGGAAACCACAGTCCTGAATTTACAACAGCTAAGCAGGGGGCTTGTTGAGGACAGGCCGGTCTGGAGACCAATCCATTCATAGGGGCGCCTTCACTCGGAGGCGACTGGACCGCACGCAGCAACAACTGAGTAACAACGTGCCTCTTTTCCCGGATCTTCGGGCTCCTGACAGCCAGCCTGTCGTTCGCCCCCCCCCCCAGCCAACAAGATGGCGGGGGGCCCCCCTCTTGCTTGTCAAACACGATCCCACCAAGAGCCCCTTTCACTTACCTGCCAGTTAAGCCGCCTCGCTTCGGATACCGTTGCCAGGGCAACGAAGGAGCCTGCGAGCCAAGCAGGCGCGTACGGAAGCCGAGAAGCTCCGTCTGGGAACGGGCCTTGGACGGGCTCTCCTGGCTTGATCTTCAGAAGAGGAAACAGCCATGAAGATGAGCATCTGTGCGAGAGGAGCGTGCGTATTCTTCTGCTCCTTTCCACTCTCTGTTGGAGTACACAGTACAGAAGGAAGCACTGGTTGCAGTAGGTGACGTGACTACACTATCTAGCTATTCACTCCATTCTGTGGTTCAACTCCCTCGGAAAAGCGTGGGGTGACGTTTGTAAGCGAGGCAGCCACAGCTCGTAGCCCTTTACTTGTTGCAGCAGGAAGTTGAAGCGCGGCATGCGAGGAAGTCCAGCACAATCGTTCCACTTAATGTAGGTGTGGAGAGGCTTTTTTTTCCTAAGGGCCACAAGCTCTCTCCACTGTTCCCGAAAACTGCATTTATACATGACAATGCTATACACGTCTTCTCAACCTTATAATGTGTTTTTTTTTTTGGTTCCTGGCCCGTGAGTTTAGGATCACTTTCTCTTTCCTTCAGTTAGTTTAGACTACCAAATTCTTTATTGCATGCTCTGTTTGTAACACGTTTTTCAAAGGTTCAATTACTGTTTAAAATGATGAACTGGAAGAGTCTAAAATGAGGTACTAGCAGTTTTAAAGCTACTCTGTTTTTTAAATGGACCAAATGTAATGGATCCAGATGACTAACGGGTGCCAAAATTACGCCAAGAGTATATGAAAAACATCTCCAACACCTAGTACAGTACATGAGAAAGCATAAAGGAAACTGAAGAAAAGCGGAGTTCCAATGCACAGGAAGGTTTCTTTTTTCATTGGGGCAGGTTCCAACGTGTACCCATCTAAAGCTAGTGATGCACTTAAATAATAATTTGAGGGTCTGGGTTGCAGAATTATATGAGTTGGGAAAGTTTAGAATGTAATGTGCACTGTGGTACTCATAAGATGTAATTATTTTACTGAATGGACCCCACTGCTTCTGGGATATGAACTCAATGGGCCTTACTCCTGAGTGACAAAAGCAGCTGACTCTTGTGACTGTTTATTTAAAATTAAGTTCTACTGATCTCAATTAAACCTGCTACCATGTTAGTGTGCTTAGGTGTCCTATGTGAAGTTTAAGGCAAAGGTAAAGGTTCCCCTTGACATTTAGTCCAGTCATGTCCGACTGGACTAAATGTCCAGGGCACGTTGCTCATCTCCAAGCCATAGAGCCAGCGTTTGTCCGTAGTTTCCATGGTCATGTGGCCAGCGCAACTAGACACGGAACACCGTTACCTTCCCGACATCGTGGTACCTATTTATCTACTTGCATTTACATGGTTTCAAACTGCTAGCTCGGCAGAAGCCAGGACAAGTGACAGGAACCTACTCCATCACACAGATTCCATCTTAAACTGCTGGTCTTCTGACCTTGCAGCGCAGAGGCTTCTGCAGTTTAACCCGCAGCACCACCATGTCCCTTTTGCTCATAAGTAAATTCCATTTTATGCAATGAGAGATATTTCTAAGTACTGTAAGTGTGAGATTGTAGCCTTTGCTCTTAAATACAGTAGCTGCATACTGACTGAAAGTAATCATCTACATGTATATTGCATAATGAATGTCGGATCTTTGAGCTATATGTGCCTTTCAATGACTTACACAACTACTCCATGTAGCTATGAGAAACAGTGAGTACAGTACTGGGAGCATCCCTATTCTGTAAAGATTCCCAAGGAAGCCCTGATTCATATTTAGAAACTTATCTGGCATCTAGACAGCCTTTGATTAGTTTAGCATGTGGTTTTCAGATTTTGGCTTTCCAGATGCTTTGAACTTCACCTCCCAGAATCCCCAGTCAGTAGCACCAGTGACTAGGAGTTGAAATCCAGAACATCTGAAGGGGCAAACTTCAAGAACCATTGCTATGCATATAGGTACAAGAGAATCCAAATTATGTTTGTCCCCTCAATCCTGTTCTTCTTTAATTCCAGATCTATTGCAATAATAATAATAATAATAATAATAATAATAATACTAATAATAATAATAATAATAATAATAATAATAATAATTTATTGTCATTGTAAGTATATACACATACAACGAAATTCACAGACACCCAGAGACCAGACACATGCACACACATAAAATTCCCAAACACTCCCCACCCACTAAAAGTCCCCCACTAAAAATACAAACATCTACACCGCAGGCCAAGTTACACAGTCCAACTAATTATTCACTACTGGTGGTCTTTAAGCTCATTATTAATTGCAATTATAGCTCTGGGATAAAAACTATTGAGAAAACGTGTGGTCCGAGTCTTAATTGTTCTATATCTTCTGCCAGATGGTAAGAGTTCAAAAAAGTTATAAGTAGGATGGGAAGAGTCTCTCAGGATGCTATGTGATTTCCTTAGACAGCGGGATGTGAAGATGTCATCCAGGGTTGTAGCTGGAGCCCGATGATATTCTGGGGAATTTTAATGGTTCTCTGTAGAGCTTTTTTGTCTGCTACAGAGCTACTCCCAAACCATGTCAGAATGCCATAGGTTAGGACACTCTCAATGGTGCTACGATAGTAGGACAGAAGTAAATGCTGTGATAAATTTAACTTGCTGAGCATTCTCAGGAAATACAGCCTCTTCTGTGCCTTCTTCATTAGCATGTTGGCATTTATAGTCCATGAGAGTTCCTCTGAGATGTAAGTACCCAGAAATTTAAAACTACCAACTCTCTCCACTTCCTCACCGTTTATGTACAGTGGTAAATGTACATTTCTCTTCCTCCTAAAATCAATTATGAGTTCTTTAGTTTTTCTGATGTTAAGTGTGAGATGATTTTCTTTACACCAAAGTATCAACCTTTGTACTTCCTTTCTATAAGCAGACTCATTGTTCTTATTTATGAGCCCCACCACTGTCGTATCATCCGCAAATTTAATAATTGCATTGGTGTTATACAGTGGGGTGCAATCATGTGTGTACAGGGAATAGAGGAAGGGACTTAGCACACAGCCCTGGGGAGCTCCTGTACTTAGTACCAGGGTAGAAGAATGGTGAGATCCCATCCTTACTGACTGTGGCCTATCTGTCAGAAAATCCTTTATCCACATGCAGATCTCCTGAGGTAATCCCAGGTTGATCATTTTAAAAAACAACCTATTTGGTAGAATGGTATTAAAAGCAGAGCTGTAATCCACAAACAACAGCCTTGCATAAGTTCCCTGATGTTCTAAGTGGCTCAATACAGTATGGAGTACAATGGACACAGCATCATCAGTAGATCTATTTTTCCTGTATGCAAATTGCCATGGGTCCAAAGAAGGTGGAAGACTAGCCTTAATGTAATCCAGCACCAATCTCTTAAAACAATAAATAGTTATGCTGTCTAAAAGATCAGCGATACAGTATTGTGAGAAGGTGGACACAGACAAATATGATCCCATTAGCAAGATGTCCCCTTGGGACCGAAGATTTCCCAACGTCTAGCTGTCCTGCAGACTTAGGGGAAGAGATGGGAAGAGAACATTTCCCAGAAAGCTCTGGAACACCTGAAAAAAAAAGGGGGGGATCAACAGTCTGGAGAGGAGGGGCCTGAAAAGGGGGAAGGCATAAAAGTGGAAGCAGAGGAGGCAGTTTTGGCAGAAGAAAAATGTGGTGGAAATAGTGGAGGCAACAGCAAGAGAAGCGATAAAGAAGGAAGGAATTGTGGAAAGTGATGTTAAGGAAGAGGAGGTACAAACTGGCTGGGGAGAAAAGGCAGATCTTCACAAACTTCTCAAGGGCTGGGAATGGATCACTAAAGAGGGTCTATGGACTGGAGAGTGGGTAAAGCTTAAGGTATGCAGAGAATAGATGGAGAGACAATGAAAACATCGCCTCCCCAAAACACAACCCTTCTGAGGAGAGAAAGACAGAGACTAGGAAGAGAAAAGACTACCAGGGAGGCTATTCCTCAACTGCAAGTAGGGAATGGAGCCATTCCCACAAGACTGGATTTCTCCCTCAGCCAGCTATTGGGGAATCCATAAGTATGGGGAAGGAGGTGGATCATTAGGTCAGACACCATGTGCATCGGACCTTGCCACGGAGAGAGTTCAAGAAGGAGCACCCCAGGCAAAGGGAACCAGTCTAGGAAAGCCGGAGAAAGTACTTTTAAGAGACTCTGTTGTTTCCCGCTGGGATTTTGTAACAAGTTTGGTCCCTTTGAAGTTGTTGAGAGCCCCGTCGTCGTTTAGTCGTGTCCGACTCTTCATGACCCCATGAACCAGAGCACGCCAGGCCCTCCTATCCTCCACTGCCTCCCAGAGTTGGGTCAAATTCATGTTGGTAGCTTTGATGACACTGTCCAACCATCTCATTCTCTGTCGTCCCCTTCTCCTCTTGCCTTCACACTTTCCCAACATCAAGGTCTTTTTCAGGCAGTCTTCTCTTCTCATGAGATGGCCAAAGTACTGGAGCCTCAGCTTCAGGATATGTCCTTCCAGTGAGCACTCAGGCTTGATTTCCTTTAGAATGGATAAGTTTGTTCTCCTTGCAGTCCAGGGGACTCTCAAGAGCTTTAATTTCGGGGCTGCTGTCTCCATCTGCAGTGATCATCGAGCCCAAGAAAATAAAATCTGTCACTGCCTCCATATCTTCCCCTTCAATTTCCCAGGAGGTGATGGGACCAGTGGCCATGAGCTTAGTTTTTTTGATGTTGAGTTTCAGGCCATTTTTTGCACTCTCCTCTTTCACCCTCATTACAAGGTTCTTTAATTCCTCCTGACTTTCTGCCATCAGAGTGATATCATCTGCATATTGGAGGTTGTTGATATTTCTTCCGGCAATCTTAATTCTGGCTTGGGATTTCTCCAGTCCAGCCTTCCGCATGATGTATTCTGCATATAAGTTAAATAAGCCGGGGGACAATATACAGCCTTATCGTACTCCTTTCCCAATTTTGAATCAATCAGTTGTTCCATATCCAGTTCTAACTGTTGCTTCCTGTCCCACATATAGGTTTCTCAGGAGACAGACAAGGTGGTCAGGCACTCCCATTTCTTTAAGGACTTGCCACAGTTTGCTGTGGTCCACACAGTCAAAGGCTTTTGCATAGTCAATGAAGCAGAAGTAGATGTTTTTCTGGAACTCTCTGGCTTTCTGATCATGGGGCGTTCTTGGCATAGATACTGGAGTGGCATTGCCATTTCCTACTTCAGGTGGATTGCGTTTAGTCGGAACTCTCC